TTGGTTGAGGAGGAAGGAGTCGATTGTGTTTTGGTGGATTCTGCATCTGGTTTCTTTTCTTCTGTTGCCATGGTTCTGAAGCTGGCAAATGAGACTTATGGTGCTTGAAGGGGAGAATGAACGCGCTGCTTCACAAGGCAGCCCTTACCACAGGGAGCAGGGCTGCTCTGGAAACAAAACCCTGGAAGAAAAGCAAAACATTCACATTAGCTGTCAAAGAAAGATCAGCAGCAGCTAAAGGGACGAGATCAGCTTAACTGCAGATCTGCAGAAAACATGATGAAGAAGCATATTCTACATCTGTTCAGCAACGTGCTGTTTTCTGCCTTCAGGTCTATTAGTGTGCAAGATCAAGAACCCGAATACAGGACTTTTATCAGATCCAGGACAGCATTTTTCACTGTGTTCTGTGCCAACCACTAGAAAGAAAGCAGAGCAGCTTTTAGGTGCAGTGAAAGGGTTTGTCTCATATTCCTCAAAACACCTGAGAAACACTTGTACAACACAGCAAATGCAACACTTTGTATATAAGGCATTTCCAAAACTTAAAATCCCACCAGGTGGTTTTTTCATTTTTAGTTCAAATATTTCAGTCTCATATCTTTCCCTCTAAATGCTCTGAGCACCATTCCCCTGCCTGAGAGTTTCCTCTGCTTAACAGCAGCCCTGCATTAACCTCACCAGATCTGCTTTCTGTAGCAAAACCTGAGCAGTGCTGTGCCCTGCAATCAGGGCTGATGCTGCAGAGGGAACAACCACACTGCAGTTCAGTTCCATTTCAGCAGCGTAACAGAATAACCTCCAGTTCACACTCTAAGGATTTGCCCTCATCGTCCATTTGTGATATCCCATCTCAGGCACCATTCATTTTGCTTGTGCCAGCAAATCTGGAAGGAATAGCGCTCACTTTTCAAGCCACCACTGACATTTTGAGCATCTTGTCCTCAGGAGGGCACAGAGCTAAGTACCACCAGTCCCTGCTTGCTTTACAAGCACGCTGCACAGCGCAGACTCATTACTTACTGTTGGTAACAGCAACTTCACTTCTATAATGCAGACCAGATTCTTTTCAGCCTGAACTCATACGAGAACCGGAGCAAACACACAGCTTGTTCCCTGCACCCAGCTCTGCTCCAGGGAGAGCAGCACCTCTTCATACAAACCTGAGCAGGCAGCACCCTGCTGCACAGCACGAGGTCTTGCAGCATGCAGGCAGTGGGACCAGCACAGCCCCAGCTTCAGCATGCTGACACACTGCAACAGTGGGGAGACACTGGCCCAAGGAGGCTGTGGAGCCCCATCCTGGAGGCATTCAAGGCCAGGTTGGATGTGGCTCTGGGCAGCCTGATCTGGTGGTTGGTGACCCTGCACACAGCAGGGGGTTGGAACTGGATGATTGCTGTCATCCTTTTAACCCAGGCCATTCTATGAAATAACCCTTTCTCACCACACCCAAAGGAATGCTCTCAGCGAGAAGCCCGGGTAAACTCAGCAGGAAAACTTCCCGAGAGCTGGAAAAGCAGCCTGCAAGAGCACACAGCCACGTGTGTGCACGCACATCCAGGCGTGCACAGAGCCGCGAGCGGCCACAACAACTCCTGTGCTCACACCCGCGGGGCTGCACGCGCTCCGGCCCGGGGAGCAAAGCAGGGCAGTCCAAAGCAAAGCAGGGCAGTGCAAAGCAAAGCAATGCGAAGCAGGGCAGGGCAGTGCAGTGCAGAGCCGGCGCGCCCCCCCTCCCGCCTCAGCGCGGGACTGAGGGCGGTGGGGGAGGGAGGAGAGGCGGCGCCCCACGCGAGGCCGGCGCTGAAGGAACCCAGCCGGCCGGGATCTGCAGTGACTTACCGGGGGAAGGGGAAAGAGCGGGAACCCGGCACCGCCGCCTCCTCCACCGCGGCGAGGCGGGGTGCGCTGCCGCGGGAGGGGCGGAGGGGGGGAACGCGGCGGCGGCGGCGGCAGCTCCGGGGCCGCCAGGCGGGGAATGTGGCACGGCGCATGCGCGCTGTAGGCCAAAGGCTGCACAATGCCGCTCTCTCCCGGGAGCGCTACGGCGCGGCCCGAAGGCCAAAATGCATCGGCCGCGCGCTTTAAAGGGCCAGGCGCCGCCTTCCTCAGCCAGCTGGGTCTAGGTTCCCTCCCTTCCTCCCTGAGGTGGGTGCGTGCCCACGGCCTGGCTGCCCTGGGGAAGGAGGGGATGGAGGCACTGAAAGTTCACCCTTAGCCCACGTTGTTGTGAGGAGACTGAGGTAATCTGTAAGGTAAACAGTGCAGCAGGCTGATGGGTGGTCCACGTAACGCTGTAATAGCAGGTGAGGGTAGGTGTGAGGCTGTGCCCTGCCTAGGAAAGCATTCAGCTTGCATGCAGACATTCTCCTCAAAGCTCAGTGTGTGTTTCGGTGCTTTTCTGGAAAACAGTGGGGTTTTTTTCTGAACCGCAACCCAACTGCCTTCAGTTAGAGGGAAGAAAACCAAGAGACACGTGTCGTGTGCTGGCCCTGTAACACAGGAAGACCTGCGGGCTCCAAAAATCCTGGTAGCTGCTGAGGAAGGAAAAAGCTGAAAAAAGCTGTGGTGTGGTGAAGCCAAAGCCCTTCTCCAGCCTGGAAACCCACAGCCTGCAGCATTAACCCTGCCCTGCGAGCACAGGGAAAACGCAGACATGGAACTGTAAGAGATGCTCCATCCACACTACGCTGTTAGGGAATAAATCCAGTTTACTTGGTGGACTTGGTGTATAGTCTTTGTTCTTAAACAATAAATAGCACAAATCAGCAGAGTAATGCTATGTATTTATGCAGCTTTCTTGTGATAAGGGTAGTGTGGTTTTGTTGCTTTGACGTAGGAGACGAGCCTGTATTTCTCTGTTGTGCCTCCTCTCGCTATGGAAGCTTTTTTGCCTGATATTTTGTATAAATATTAATCCACATCTATACTGAATAATACCTTTCTGGAACTGGAAGTTATAGTTTCAAATACAAACGGTAATTGTAATCCTAAACAACCCCTTTGCCTCTGAGTGTCCTGGATTTATCTTTAACAAACGTGACGTTTTGTAAGTCCCATTTGGCAAAGTATTTAATCATGTGCTAAACTGGGTTTTGTGACCAAAAAAAAAAAAGGCAGCTCAGCATGCAAAGACATTTCATTGGGACTACATAATGTGAGCACCAGGGAATCTGCATGGACAGCCCGTCGCCTTGGGATGAAATTTAACTTGTGGGTTATGAGTCATCTGTGAGGGTCCTTCTTGCTCTGCAGGCCATGCTGCCACAGCTGGGATCAGCAGGATGTGATCTCTGTCCAAATTCCCTCTCTGTGAAAGACTGGGCCTTGGCAGGCTTCTCTTTCACAAAGTCTTTCATTCCATTTGGTTCCAAATAGCCTGAACTTGGTGATCTGCCAAGTATACTGGAAAAGACACCTGTCTGTGAGGCTTCTGGGGGGGGAGAAAAGCTTCCCATAATGTTGAAAAGGGAAGGGAAGGGAAGGGAAGGGAAGGGAAGGGAAGGGAAGGGAAGTCCATGAGTGTCTCGGATGATAGGGAAGTGACTGCTTTCAGTGCTGATGTGAGCCCTCTGGATGTCTTTAAGAATGTCAGGAACAGATCCAAGGCCGTGGATGTTGCTATGACTAATGTATACAATTCTGTCACAGGTTCCACTGAGACAAGAACCGATCCAATCCTGCAAATTTGATCCAAGGGACATTAATGTTTGCAGAAAAGCTCCTGCTAATTTCACATGTTGGATCTTTAGATTACTGCAAACAAGCACATTCTTACTTTTGCAATGGTGAGTAATAAGCCCATGTTTATGTTTTGGCACAATTAGCAACTTCTGTTAGGACTTTTTATTTACTTGAGCCACCCAGCAAATGGAGCACAGAACAGGCATACTGCGTGTTACACACTGTTCAAGAAACAGAGGGAGCAAGAACTTGTGAGAGATCTGCTGCTTCTTTTAGACTTTTAAAAGAGCAGCTGATCCCTGACATATAGCTGTTCCTGTGCTGTTGCTAATATGCTGAAATCAAAAAATACATCACATTCATATGTTTCTTCTGGGATTTAAACCCAAACACTGAACCTTTTCCAAGCTGATATTTCTAGCTCCCCCACTACAATATGAACCTTACTTGCATCACTGCCAACGTTTGTTCATTTAAAACTAGGGATACTCACCCCAGCAGAAGGCAGCTAGGATTCAATTCATTCTGCCTTGGGCAGGATGTGCACCAACACTTAGCACAAAATCCCAATGAATGTTGAAGAACTTATTTTAAAGTAAGATCATTGAACACTGAGTTCGTAGTGCTCCATGTTAGGAACGACCTGTGGAGAAGCAGTCTATGTTTTTGTGGGAGAAGCTAGGACTTTGTGCAAGATTAGAGTCCAGCAGTGTGCTATAGCATAACATCCAATGCAGATTTAACCAAGTTACAGCCAAGGTAATAGATGAAGGCTGCAGATTTGAGGGCCTCACACTGAATCACACATGGTCTGACTGCCAGACGTGATGACAGCCTGCCTCTCCCAGCCTCTTCAACTGGAGCAGCAGGTTCTCAGCATTTCTGTGAATCAGGGACTTTGTTCTTGGCTGGTGCAACTACAATACTGGATGTTTTGATACAATTAGCTCATGTCCCTATTTTAGTATATCTCCAGTTTTAGTAAAATGCGTCTTTATTTAATTTGTTGTCATTTAGAAATGACCTTTTTGAGGTAGAGCTTCTCTTTATCATTTTTCCAGCCTTTAGAGGGAAGAATAAAAAGTAAGAAAATACACAGAAATACATGAAAGCTTTAGCCAGCTGAAATCTAGTGTGTTCTGGTATCTATCAGTTTAAACTGCCTACTCAGTAGCACACACTATTCACAAGCTTGCTTACCTGTGCAAACCACTGTGTTAACAGCAGGTCTAGGTTTCTACATCACACTGACCATGTGATAAAACCATTTAAATGCAGCTAATTTCCAAATAAATTTATTTACTGTGGCCAAAGCTACTTAGCCATGTTGTCCTGGCAGTTTCTCTTCACTTCCCAAATTCCTTTGGTCGTGTCCCTTTCTCCCACAGTTGCTCTGCTTCTTTCCACACATATAAAAATACGATGGCTCCTCCAGGTAATGCCTCCTGCTACGTCCTGATAAAAGAAACTGAACTCAGACAGAATATTTGATGGGCTTTTCATGCCCATTCTCTCTGTGACCAAGTTCTCAGAACTACATAAAATGAGTCAGAAGAGTGCAGTCAGTCCAAGTTGTAGTTCTGCCCATTATTTTCTGCATCATCATATTCTCTCTCAGCTTCATCAGCTGAAAAACAGGGCTCATAATATTTCCTTACCTACAAAAGCTGTTAGGAGGATTACTGCATTGTTGTGAATTCCACAGATGAAAGGTAGTAAGAAGAACAAACTGTAATTATGATTTCAAACCTCTACCCTAGACCTGTCATCCTTACCTTACTGAATAATGCTTACTCAAACAAGGAAATTCTGCCACTATGGTAAAGAAAATCACGAGTGAAGATGACTCTCTTTTGCAATAAGAGCATTTATTCCCTTATGTTCAACACCCTTCTGTCTTCCACTGGGACAACTGGAGTTTCACTTAATTGCAGCCACTTATTGTACACTCTTATGCAATACTCTATTTGAACACTATTGTTTCAAACATGACTGTAATAGAATAAACTCACTTTTTGTAATGTATAATGACATCCACTCTGACAATAGCAGCTCCTGGTAATAGGATTTACCCCAAGTCTGCTGATAGATGAAGTCTCTTGGAGCCTGTGGTGACAAAATGGTCAGTAAGGCCAATTTTCCAGCCTTAAAGCACATGAAGCTCACATCAGCCTTTCACATGTATGTGGGTATACAAAATGCTGAAGGATGAGTCCAAAAATGGAGGAGAGAATATATTGCTGATAAGGTATTCAAACCACTTCAGCAGCTTTCTCCACCTGTGATCCTTGTGTGGTTTCCAGGTACAAATACTAACAAAGAGCTCCCATACTATAGGAAACTGCAGTTTTGGTGCTGCAACAAGCACTGAATGGTGAGCTAAAGAATCAGCAGCTTACGATTAGTGCCTATAGCAACTGTCAGGAAAATTAGTGCTCTCAGCAGTCCTTGACTATTAAATACTGGTAAGTGCAATCAATGAGGTACTGAGCTTGGTCAGTTCTCATAAAACTTAACAGTCCCACAGAGATAAGTGGCTCTCTGTTCTGTCTACCCTCATTTTCAATTCACTCAAGACCTACCTGTGGTGGAGGAAGCAGAGAAGCAAATAGCCTCAGTGTTGATAAGCCCTGAAAATTGCTCTATTCTTGCATAAATAAGTTTTTCTCACCCAACCCTTTACAGAAAGCTGCCTAGAAGGATGTACTTACATCTTCACAATAAGGGTTAAAAGCAGTGTAATATCAAGGAGTAAATACACTGCAGGTGTTGGTTAACAAGGTACTAATTGGGTGACTGGAGGTGCATCTTAAAAGACCACAGAGGTTAATCAAAAGGCCTTGGGTGCATTTAGGATGCTCCTTTGAGCTTAGGGAGGAGGCAGCAGTGGTGAAAAGCTCTTGTTGTAGTCTTACATTTTATAGTAAAAGCTAAAAATAAGGTATTAATGAATAGGCAGGGTGTTAGATCCTGAGTGTGATATATAGCAAGACTGTTCAGAAGCTAATTTAATGATTGCAGCTATCTCTTCCTCACCCTGCATGCTCTTACTTTTGGCTTTTACCTGTGCTTAGTTATTCTAATGTCACTGTACTGGGGCTTCAGTTTGCAGACCTGCAGGTAGGTGTGTGAGCAATGCGTATGTTCCAGTTTGAAAGCTGATAACTGAAATCTCAGGGACACGAATTGGCCTTCCAGCTCAGTTTTATACATAAGGAACATAATTTGGGATGAAATTATAACCCCCCCATGCGAATTAAAGGAGTATAAGATGTACTTAACTGTTCTTGGCTTGCTGTTTTATTATGTTCTGCATTGCCAAACATGAATTTCTCTATGTTCTGAGGAAAACAAACAAATGTTTCATCAATGGCTCTTGCTTGTGCAGAGGACCACCCTCCCCAGTTGTTCCTGCTATTTGTGCTTTTTTCCTTGGCCCTTATAGGGGAATGAACCGTTAGGTCAGGGTGAACTGGTGATTGAGCACCTGCTGAAGGGCTGTGGCTGCCCATGGAACACAGGCAAATTGTTTGCACCTGTGCTCCCCTCATGACCAGAAGGGGTGGACCCAGCTCTATAAAGGGCTCATCTAAAGGCCAGGCACTGAAGGGAGAGCATCTCTTGGAGCTGGGCTGCTTCCTGAGGAGTGCTGTGCAGCTAGAGAGCTCATTCACCACCTGGGTGAGTTCAGTTCTTTCTGTGTGTGGATACTGGCCCACCTGCAGATACTTTGCCTGCTTTTGCCACAATCTGCCAGAAGCAGTTTTGCTTCTTATCAGCAGGACAGCCCTCCTGTTGGGCCCCTAATCTTCAAGCAGCAGCAATTTTCTTTTAGGTGTTTTTGGTGTTGTTCATGATTTGGTACCTCTGCAAGTTATGGCAGTCACAAATTCATACAGGCATGTGTTGGAGCAGAGCATCTTATTCAGAAGAACTGACCTGATGTTTTTCAGAAATCAAATGCTTTGATGTATGTTTATTCTTTTAGGTTTGCTTGGGAAATAGTAATATAGGAGGATAATGAGAAAAACTAAGTGTTCAAAGTCTGATCCTTCCTTACATCCCTGATGCAAGGTGCCTGAGGTGCTCTCAGGCAGGGGGGAATTCAAGTGATTTCAGGTGGGTTCTTTCACTCAGTCTGACAGCATGGAACGTATGGCAACCGCACGCAGGGCAGCTTTAGTGAAAACCAGCTTGCAGCATGTGGAGGTTTGCATAAAGAAGTTGCAGGAAGCACCTCTTTCTTACTGTTTGCGTGCCTGTGCTCCCACAGAGGCTGTGTGCTCTGGGTGCGGAGGGCACTCAAGTAGCTTTTGGGTACCTGATGAGCAGGTCAGAAAGGCCAGTTGGAAGTGGCCCTGATGTGCAGTTTGGCTGTTTGTGAAGATGCAGCTTCCAGTCCTATCTTAAAGAGTAGTTATGTCTGGGAGAGGTGAGGTTGTGACACATCTATCCCTACTGAATTCGCACCAGCTTTACAGTGAAGTGCAAAAAACCCACAAACTTTTGGGGTTTGGTTAAAGCGTCTGCACAGCTTTGGTTTCATCCTGAGGCAACCACACATCTGGCTAAGCAGAATTTTCTAAAGCATCTGTCCTCTTGTCTGTGCAAAAATCAATCTTCAGATGCTATCAGGCAGTGTGAGAAGTCCCAGCTCTGTTGGTCTCATTCTTTTGAAAGCTGATCTTCTGGAAATGAAGCCTTCCAGTGAAAGGGCCTCCACCGGATGGTTACAATAAACTGCTTTATTAATTGGCGTCACCTCATGGCTGGCTGTGTGGCAGCCTGCTGGATTATGTGTCCACAGAGAAATCCCATCACTACTTTGTATTTTATGTTGGCACTCCAATGTTTCCCCTGGATTCAGTTACTTTCCAACACTTTTTCCTTCTGTGCTGCAGCAATTGAATCATATTTCGGGTTGCAGTGGTCTCTTCTTCAAACTCTTTTTCTCCCCTCATTGCATTTGTTTGCTTTGCGGTATAGGCTGCTGGTCTTTGATTTTGGAGTGTTTGTTTTTATGTTTGATGCTCTTTATGGAGCGTGTTTGTGAAATTAGTGTTATTTTTATTGCGTGCGTTAGATTACGATCACCAAAACAGCACTGTGGGATGCACTCAGCAGCGCGTGCTGCGTCAGGTTTGGGGTTTTCTTGTGTTTCTTTGTGTTCAAGAAACGTTTGGACGTTGTAGGAAGGTTTAGCGGGGAAACGCTGGTGGTGGGCGGTGATGTTGGAGGTCTTCCCCAGCCTCGCTTCTCATTTGTTTGGGTGACTTACTACTCCAGCTCGCTCTGCCCGCGTTCTATTTTTACCGCAGCTCGTATTTGTTGTTGCGTAATAAAAGCGAGCGCGCGTTACCCAATGCAAACCGCGCTTAAAGGAAAAAAAAAAAAGCAACAAAAAACCCACGAGCGAAGCGCAGCGCTTCCCTCCGAGCTCTCGGCTCCCGCCGGCGGGCAGGGCTGGAGTTCCCACCGACCGTGCGGGGACCGCGAGGCGGGCGGAGGGACGCGGTGCCGCCTGCCGTCGCCCTCCGGCTCCCCGGGGCGCTCCGCGGCGCGCAGCCCGGCCGTGCCCGCAGCAGAACAGCAGCCGGGGAGCGGAGCGCGGCCGGAGCTCGGTGGGACGCGGCGGCTCCTGGGAGCTGTAGTCCGGGCCCCGCCGCCGCCTCCCGCCCGGCCCGGCCCGGCACTACGGGCCCCACACGGCCCCGCGGCCGGCGCATGAGCCGTCGGCCGCCTTAGCGCATCTATTCTGCTGCCTTGCCGAGGATAAAAAGAAGAGCAACTGGAGGGACTGTAAGGCAAACGTTGCTGGAGCTGCCGGGGCAAAGTAATCTATTTAATCTTTCCCTTTATTTGTTAGATGCTCGGGGGTGCGTCGCTAGCATTGGGCCACGGCTTCGGGAGGGAGGGGGGCCGGGAAAGAAGGGAGGGGAGGCAAAACCCACTTGGGAAAGGCCGACGCTGATTTTCTTCTTCTTTTTCCTCCCCTTCCCTCTTCTTCCGCTCCTCCACGGTGCGGAGCCCCGCGCCGCTCTCCGCAGCCTTTGTGCGCCGCGACAAAGCAACAAAGCGCGGCCGGGCACAGCCTGCCCATTGATTTCCTCCCGGCCCCGCCGCTCCTGCCCACCCTTTTCTTCTTCTGCCGCTTCTTCTCCTTCTGCTCCCCCTGTCGCCTCGCCCAGCCCGAAGCCGCCCTGCCGGGTGCGCACCCGTTCCCGGCCCCACCGAGCCCCGCGCAGAGGAAATTTCTTTCTTTCTTTCTTTCCTCTCTTTTTTTTTTTTTTTTTTTCTCCTCCTTCTTCCCCCTCTCTCGCTCGCTTTCCCTCTCTCTCGCTCTCTCTCTGCCCGCCATCTTTTGAAAGGGGAAAAAAAAAAATTAGGAGCGAGGGAAAATAAGGGACTGTAGGCGCTCTTAGAAAATAAGAAAGGGGGGGAAAAAAAAAGGGGGAAGCAGAGACGAGGAGAAAAGAGAGAAAGAGGGGGGGAAGCAACACGGGTGGGGAACAGGCGCTGGGGCTCGGGGCGGCCGGGCGGAGCGGCTTTGGGGCTCAGCCCGCAGCTCCCGGCCATTTCCCGGCGCCCCGGAGCCGCTCGGTGCGGGGTTCGGCCGGCGGCGATCCGCGGGACTCGGGCTGCACGCGGGGAGCGAGGGTTTGTTGCTTCAACTTCGCGTGTTTCCGCGGTGTGCGCGGCGACGTGGCTCGCGGGTTGGAATAAAATGCAAAACTTCAAACCGGCCGTGCTTTTTTTTTCCTTTTTTTTTTTTTTTTTTTTCTACTCGTTAGCTTTTGCACCTCTCTGGGCGCCGCTGATAGAGCGTTGTTTGTAGGCTGCTTGGTTTCACTTTCAGACAAAGCTGCAGTGTTCAGGTCGCGGATCTCCGAGCGTCTCTAAACTGTGAGGCTGAACCCTGCAGGGTCCCTCCGAGTGCCAGCAGGCGCTGGGTGCGCTGGGATAGCTTTGGGTGTCTGCAGAAAGCAGAAGTTGCTGAAATAAACTTCTTTTTCGGATAAGCAAACAGATGGGCTTCACTGATACTTGCGATGTGTATAAATGCTGTGTGTAAGTTGCTCGACGTTGGTAAACAGTAGGTTGGGGGGGTAATGCAAATAGCAGTGCACACCTGCTGTTGCTTGCTGGGAATAGAGAAGTGTGTTTTTGTAGGCTTGTTAGTGCTTTGAATGTGTTCAGTGTGTGTGTGTATGCTAAGGGGGTACCTCTAAACCGGGGATTTGGGATTGACACCGAAAGCTCGTCCCCCATTTGCTCAAGTGGAGGTGTTACAGAGGACCCTGACTGCTGCGTGTGCTGCAAAGTGAGAAGCGTGGGGTGGACAAGAAATCCCCGCTGCAGTCTGCTTGCACTACAAGCACCAACCCACGGTCTGTATTGCTTGCAGCTCCCAGCAGCTCGGGTGTGCTGTATGCAGAGTGCTGCCTGCTGCTGTTTTGTTAGCTGAAGTTTAGGGAGTTCTTCTGAAACAGTGTAACTTCTGGCCTCCCGGCTTTCCTTTTTCTGAAGGAAAAATGCTAAGCTTGTATTTTCTTTCCCTTTACTCCTTGCTGGTTAAAAATACACACTAGTGCTTCGAGACCACGCTTGGTAAAACAGTTGAATGGAGGTTAATGGTGTTATTCAACATTCAGCATCAGCTTGATTGCAATATTGTCTTCTAAACTCTATTTGCACAGCACT